ACAACCCGCAACTGGAGGGGGGAAGAAGCGCTCGTAAAAAGATGCTCAGGACTGGGGTGGGCTGGGGGGTCGTCTGGCCGCTCTGCCCTGCAGGCTCGCCCCCAGATTCTTAGCGACCACGTGGGCAGGGATTCAATAGCACAAGATTTATCATTAAAAAGCGAAGAAGAAGAAGAAAAAACAAAAAAAAGAAAAAAGAAAAAAAAAGAACTTGGGGAAAAACGAAATGAAAGTGAAGTGTTGAAATGGGACTGGAGAAAAATACGCTCTTGGAAAGGGATGGCGGGATCTGGATTCGCATACCCGCTCAAGTAATTATATATATTTTTTTTATGGAGAGAGATATATATTATTCATACATGCACATATATATTTGCTCAGAGGAACACGCATCTTTGGAGACCTTCGAAGGAGGGCTGTTCCTGGCTGCAGAATTCACACAAGCTTTCACGGCCCCACGAGTCCAGCAAAGACCTTTTTTATGTCCAAGAAGGTCTAGCGGGATTTCAATAAATATATTATTTTTTATTATTATTGTCTTTAATTATTGCTGCTTTTTTTGGAGGGGGGATCGAGGCATCCACGTGGGTTTGGGTCCTATTTACCCGAATGATTATGCCTGATTGGTTTTACCTGTTAGCCAAATTCACGGAGGCAACGGGCAGACTTTAACGCTCGAGAACTCTCCATGAGGTTATAACCAGGTAGCTAAATACTCAGTTAAGCCCGGCGCCCACTCGCGAACTCCAGGCCCCGGGGGTTTGTAATCAATTCCCACGCAGAGCTGGGAAATAGCCCATCTTTAAGGTTTATGCTTCCATTATTTTTAATTAAGGGGGGGGGGGACTTTACTGGGATTCATCTCACCCTCTCAGAGAAGAAAATACCACCCCACCAACACAACGGATTTGGGGATGGGTGACATTGCCATGACCTTGGTGGCGGTGGAGGCCACGCGTGGGTAAGCGACACGCCGTAGAAGAGGGCTGTGAGCACGCGTGGGCTCCTCGGCAGCCCTCCGCGGGTGCAGTGCCCTTCTCCCGCCCCCCGGTACTTACATGTCCGAAGGGGTCGAGGTGGTTGTTGGTGAGTTTGAGCTTCTGGAAGGAAACCAACTGCCTCATCCAGTGGGCACCGGTGGCCGGAGAGTCCGGGTGCACGTACAGCCGCCCGGGCATGGCCGGTTCTGCCTTCCCTGTCACCGACCTGCGTGGGGACACAGGCAGGGTAGGGGGACACTCCCGTGGGCTCCTGCACCCCTTCCATCCCCCCCGGTGGGGTCCCTCCCGGGGGTTCCTGCACCCTTTCCATGACCTCCGGCGGGGTCTCTCCCGTAGGGTCCTGCTGCCCAACCGCCCCCCCACCCCCGGGGGGTTTCCGCCCACTCAGGTGTCCCCGTACGCGGGGACAGCGCTGTGCCGGATGGTCACGCCGTGTTTGGGGAGACAAGGTGTTTACAAACCCCGTTCGGGCAATTAGTGGAGCTCTCTGGCACCTCTCCCGTCGGAGATGGCTCTCCCTGTTTCCCCGTTTAACCCCATCCTTCCCCCCCACCTTAATTACCGGCACCCAAACCAGGAGCAAAAGACAGACTGTGTCCCAATCCTTAAAGATTTCCCTGCCCGGAGATATTCCCTCCCTTAATAGAATTAAATTATTGACTCCACAATGGCCAATAATCTCATCGTCAAACAGGATTACAGTTATCATTAGCTAACTGCGAGAGATTTCTCTCCTTTTTTTTTTTCTCCACATTTCTCTCCCAAGGACTGTGGGAGCATCCCGAGAGGCTCAAATGAAACACACACACACACACACACACACCCCCTTCAGCCCCAACATCTCTCCTTCGCGGGGGGCAAAAAGAAGGATGAGCGGCTGATTGAGGTATCTCCCAACGTGCGCTACCCAATTTTGGGCAGCTCAGAAAGCCCGACATGGAGGGTTTCTCCTCCCTCCCCTTTCCCCCACGCGTGCATACCATTTATTATCTGCAAATTTGTATCTGTGGTCATCCGCTGGTACAATATCCATCAACAGTATGTACTTAGTTTTTGGATTGAGTCCAGTGACCTTCACTTTGTAACTGGGGAACATGCGCCTATTAAAAAGAAAAAAAAAAAAAAAAGAAAAAGAAAAAGAAAAAAAAGAAAAGCGCATAAATATAAAAGA